CATGTGGTTACCACAAACCTAAAACACACGCTTATATTCTGGATGGTCGGGCAGAAAACAAGTACTAAATTTATAGCAGAGAACGCCTCTTGAAAGAGCGATAAGAACGGATGTGAGTTTGGGAAATTGATAGGACCAAGGCGATTGGGATGGCTCGAGGCTCCTCCCAAGCCTCAAGGTGACTAGAGAGTCGATTCAAAATGCTCCTGCTATGAGCCGAAGCTGTGAGAACTAGGAAACTTTAAGGCGGCGCGAAGCGCCATTGGCGCCGTCTTTGCCGAACCGAATGGCTCAGTCTCCGAGACAACTAAAAGTATATTGCGAAAGGGAACGTTTATTGAGAGAGGGAACAGTGATGGACGGGTCAACAGTTGGGAAACCTAGACCGCGAAGGAACGTGAAAATAACGTCACGACTTTACCGGCCTCGTTTGGTGCACAACGGGCGTGAGAGGATAAGCGAAATCGCAAACTCTAAATAAAGCTTGAACGTGGGGTTTTGCTTGATCTATGCTGCTGGGAGAGGATTAGGTCTGACACTACTCAGGCGACGACTAAAAGGGAGCTAGGAGAAGTTAGCATGTACAGTTCAGTCGGCTCTAATCTAGTGGTTAGAACTTAGAAGCCTCTGGTTCATTCATAACAATTGGACGTGCAGCAACGGTTCACATGTCCAGCTCATAGCACTGCTGGCTTCCACAACGCGACAGCGCTCTCCACCTAACTCCCCTGGACTCGGCCGCCCCTTGAGCTCCACTGTAGGTATCAGTGTGCCTACTGTTGTGAACTCTCCTCCCTCCACCCTCGAGTTTACTGCCTTTGGCGTGGTGGTGAGTGGTGGTGGATGGGGAGAGGAGGAATACAAATGAGAGGCACGCAGGCAGACAGGAGGCAGCGGGAGGAGTTGACCTAGAGGCACGGTGGTGGCAGGGCAATTGCTTTGCAAACGTAGGTGTTTCGTCAAAGCAACATAAGGGACCTCGTAAGTTCAAGAGCCTTTTCCAGGCCAGTCTTGAAACAATCAGGAGGACCTTCTTCTACCCGCTATTAATTCCAGAACTCGTTCGCGTTCCACTTTAAAATGAACCTTTTCCTCGTTCCTCCAGACTCAGCTCCATCTTGTGTTCTGAGTTCCACCGGTACAGCACCTCGCAACTAGAAATCACATTTTGCGAAAACAATTGCGCCACCCTCCAAAAAATTCCGCGTCGCTCCCCACCCCAAACTGTCGTCTCCTCAATTCCCCTCCCCCCTCCCACACCTGCGCCACACTGCACACCAACCAACTGATTCCCCCCAAACATCCTCCTCCCCTCCTCCAACCAGCAGCCTTTCCTGGGAGTTCCAGCCAGGGGGCGCGCGCAACGCGAGGGTCGTTGCATCGCGCGCATCACCTCTCCCCCCATACGCTGCAGCTTGACATCAAGGACGTGCGCAGCATCAATACCGTACAGGAGCAGCAATCCAAAATTGATGCACTGAGAGAATGGACGGTCAAAATCGGTTCTGACGACTTGATGATCGCGAAAGCACAAACCTCCTTTCACAGACCGCCACGTAGTACTCAGATCTGATGCACCACTGTTCAGGGCTCATTCTGTAACCTCGATTATGGTGCACCCATTCCACCGAACAGTCCATAGCGGAACACTCCAATTCAGCGTTACATTCCAAGTAACCCGTTTTGCCTGCATATTTGTAAGAATTTTCTATTCCTCAACGTGCCACACTGCTAACGCATACCCCAACCCCACACGGCACGGACACCTGCCCTAGCTTCGGCCCGTACACGCCACGCTGAACCATTCTGCGTCACTCCGAAGCGCTCCGCGTCCTCGGATGCCTTCTACAAACCTGTTCAATCGCACGGCTAGGATTGCACCGGTGTACCTATATCTTGCTTTCGTCATTCCATTGTACCACATTCTGTTATTCTGAACCTCGACATTCGATTCCGCGCTACTCTGGTGAAACACTCATAACATCTGGTATTCATAGCTACTTTCCTGACCTACCCGCTTCCGCAGGCGGAAAACGTTTTTTCGGTGGGGGGGGAAGGGGAGGGGGGAGGGGGAGAAGTGGTTCGGCCACTGAGCTGCAAAACGGTCGGCCGCGAATTAGACGAATCCATTCGCCCGACTACGATAGCGTTTGCGCTCTTACCTGAGCACGGGTGATCACAGATATTCCTGTTAAAGTAGCTACTAAGCAGTAGGCAGAACAAGGCCGCCATGAATGTGGCGGCGGGGTTTAGCTAGGAGAGTAGGCGAGAGTGTCGAGAGAAAAGAGAGTTGATTAGGAAGAGAGAGGAGTACAAGGAGGGGTTTGTACCCTCTACAGAAAGGTTCAGTAACAACCTACCAAGCCTATATAAATTATAACTTAGATAATTTTAACACACCCCCTAGGCTTGGTAGTGTCAAGCCCACTCACACCCCCACACCCACACCCACACCCACACCACACCCCCTAGCCCAGCACCCCCATTCCCAGCAGGAGCCGCAACGACTCCGGAAGTGGACAGCTCCCACGGCCCTTGGGACGGCAATGGCGGCAGCAGCGACAGTGACGACAGCGGCGGCGGCGGCGGCGTGCGCGACGCCCGGCCCGCGGCAACAGCGGCGGCATGAACGTCAGAGGCTGGTGCAGCGGCCCCCACCCTCTCGGCGGCATGTCCAGTCACCTTGGCGGTGGGGAGGGCCCTCATGAGCCAGTCGTCGGCTGCAGCAAGGAAGGGGGGATGCAGGGGAAGGAGGGGAGGTGGGGGAGGGGGGGGGGGGGGGGGGGGGAGGGGCGCGCCGTAGTCCATAATCACGCCGGTGGCGATAGAGCGGGCGGCAGGTCCGGCGGCACCACTGACGTTGTGCGGCCGGCTGTCGCCCGACAACGCCGCCACGGCAGCCTTACGACGCCGTCAGGCCGACGACGCACCACGGAACCTCGACGACGCCACCACGGCGCGGGCATCGTCGCTGCTGCTGCTCGGCGACGCTGAGACGGCGGCAGCAAAAAAAAAGGAGCCGCCGCGGCATCTCGTCGGAGAAGTTGCCACGGCGGCAAGAAATTGGAAGACAGGGAACGTAAACGCAGCGGAAGCACGGAGGGGAGCAAGCCCAGGGAGGGCATCTTGCTCTGATACCATGTTAAAGTAGCTACTAAGAAGTAGGCAGGAACAAGGCCGCCATGAATGTGGCAGCGGGTTTAGCTAGGAGAGTAGGCGAGAGTGTCGAGAGAAAAGAGAGTTGATTAGGGAGAGAGAGGAGTACAAGGAAGGGTTTGTACCCTCTACAGAAAGGTTCAGTAACAACCTACCAAGCCTATATAATTATAACTTAGATAATTTTAGCAATTCCCCTGCCCACCCAGCGTAGTGTCCGCAACATGGACCAGGCACAGTTCGACAAGCTGTTGGCGAAATTCGCTGCCACGGGCGCTCGCCTTCAAGCTGTGTTAAATGATAACGAGAGACTTCGCGTCGAAGTTACCAAACTTCGCCAGGCACAACAGACTACACGCCAGAAGCCGCCTGCCCCTGAGGACCTGACCTGTACGACGCCAATAAAAAATACACAAGATCGGGTTCCTGGGAGGGATATCTTTTGGTGGCCAGGATCAACAGCCCTCGATCAATGGCATTGTGGCAAACAATGAAGATCGCATGAAGCAACAGTGTTTTCACTGCCACCAGCCGGGTCACGGATATGCTGACTGCCCTGACCAAAAGCAGAGGAAAAACAACGATGGGGATAATCCGAGAAACGACTCTTGTTAGTAGCAGATGGGCCCCCTATTGTCACGGCTGCATCGTCCGAGAAACAGCATCTCCACCGGGCAGTGGTACCGGTACACGCTATTGACCGCTCTCAGACGAATAACGGGGATGAGCCTGAGGATCGCACTGTGCTCGTAGAAGGAAGGGTTAATGGCAAAAAAAACTTAAAAATCTTCATCAATGGTGGTGCGAGCCATAGCCTGATTCACCGACGACAAGCTCTACGCAGCAGTCCCCGAAGATCTGGCGAAATTCATTCGTCAATTCCCATATATTTTTCTAGACGACTTGCCACCTGGCCTGCCGCCAGAACGCCCTCAAGACCATCAGATCGAACTCGAACCTGACGCGCAACCAAGTCTGGACACAGTGGCGGCTGATGCAATCAAAGCTCCTGGAACTACAGGACCAGCTGGACTACTTGTTGGCCGAGGGGTTCGTTCGACCGAGCACGTCCCCATTCGCAGCCCTGATCCTGTTCACACCCAAGAAGATGGGGGCCTCCGAATGTGCATCGATTATCGCGCCCTGAATCGGGTTACGATAAAATCTCTCTACCCAATCTCGCGTGCGGACGAACTGATTGACCACCTGCGAGGCGCTCATTATTTCTCAAAGATCCACCTTCGCGGCGGTTACCATCAGATTCGAGTCTTGCCACAAGACCGCAATTCGTACTTGCTACGGGAGTTACGAATACACTATCATGCCATTCGGGTTAACAAATGCCCCCTCGATGTTCCAGCTGGCGATGAACGGGGTATTCAAAGAATTACTCGATAAATGTGTAATAAATTATCTGGACGATATCCTGATTTACAGCACGACATGGGGAGCAGCACTTAAAGGACCTGGAAGCGGGTTTTCAGCGCCTGCAGCAGAATCATCTCATCACCAAAGGTTCTAAGTGCGAGTTTTTAAAACATAACTAGAGTTTTTGGGGCACGCTATTTCGACGGAGGGCATGAAGATTGACCCCCGCAAAATTCGGGCGATTCAGGAATGGAAGCCGCAGACCAACCTTTAGGAGCTGCAATCGGTTTTGGGGTTCGTCAATTATGTCCGCCGATTTATACCCAACATGGCGGGGTTAACTAAAGCACTGATTGACCTACTTCATAAGGGCGCTGATTATCAGTGGGAGGAGAAGCAGCAAGTTGCATTTGGCGGATTAAAAAATGGTTTAATCTTGCCACCAGTACTTCGGATTGCTGACCCAGAACGACCGTTCGAAGTCATGACTGACGCAAGTGACATCGCCATCGGAGCAATCCTGCTACATGATTTTGGCGACGGCCTTCCGCCAATCGTGTACAAGTCGCAAAAGTTACAGTCGGCCGAGCGAAATTATCCTGTACACGACAAAGAAATGCTGGCGATCGTGCACCCGTTCAACATCTGGCGATGCTACCTAATAGGAGCCGACGTGACTGTATGAACAGATCACAAATCCCTACAGTACCCGCGAGCGCTGCCGAATCCCAACCCGCGGCAGTTTCGCTGGTTGGATTATTTGGAGTCGAACTTTGCGTATCACATCACGTACGCGAGGGGTGCCAACAACATTGCTGACGCCCTCTCCAGACCATATCCCCAAACCGCCGCTGTATCAATCGTCCAGATGAACCCGTTAATGAGCATACTATTTACCCACAGATATTCTACCGATCCCTTTTTCGTGAACAACGGCCACCAACAAGTCACGACTGCAGGGGGAGCCTATTACGTAAAAGCGGAAATGAAACGAATTTAGAATCTGAGTTATCGTCTACTTCGCGAATTACTAATTCAAGAAGTCCAGGATTCAAACTTATCGAGACATTTCGGGGTTGAAAAGACTCTGAAGGCATTGCAACGGTTTTATTACTGGCCGGACATGATTTCAGACGTGCAGAAGTTCGTGGGCGCGTGTCCGACCTGCCAGACGATAAAATCATCACGCCAGCAGAAGCCTGAATATGTATGTGATTGGTTCTAAACGCCTTGCATGCTGTTGACATGAGGATTTGAATACAACCATTATCGTAAGACATAATGGATGGAAAATTGTTTCCACGGTGCACGTGCCTGCGTACAGCTTGCTGGTAGTCCAACTGGCGACATTTTATTGGCCCTTGGGTCTCCATCTGGATTGCGACCCCTGTTCATTGCGACTGAGTGGCATACAAGGCGGTATTGGGTTTCAGGAAAATCATCGGCGACTTTTGTCCAGCCACTCACGAATCCCAATGGGCCTCGTCAGAGATTTCATTGGCAAACGGGGCATTTTGTGACATTGACTGTACGCACTATAGTATTTGTACGCCCTAACAGCGTAGTACAGCGTGTTGGATCCTACCGAATTATGGATGGTAGGATAGTATCTGGATAACAATGTTGAAGACTTAATGGCATATCTGTCAGCATATGTATAATTTTGTTATAGGCTAGATAGGTGCATGCTTATAGAGAGTACAACACCATAGCACAAAAACCTGCCTGTATGCCTCATTCTAGTCATTGCTTTATTTTGAGATGGTATCACGTTAGGTTAGGTCCCCCCTCCCCGCTTACGCTTCCGCCCCTAGCCCTAACCCTAGCTCTAGCCCGTGTCCTAGCCGTGCCCTAGCCCCAGCCGTGCCACGCCCTAGCCCTAGCCGTGCTGCGCCGCGCCCGAGTTGCGCCCGCGCCCTAGCCCTAGCCGCGACCAAGCCACGCCTGCGCCGTCCGCGCCTTCCGCGCTGTACGCGCTGCCCGCGCCGTCCGCGCCGTCCGCGCCGTCCGCGCCGTCCGCGCCGTCCGTGCCGTCCCCGCTGTCCGAGGCCGAGACCGCGCCGTCCACGCCGCTCCCTCACCGTACGCGCATGCACCAGACCCACCAGGCGCGCCAGCCCCACCATTCTGCACCGGCCTTGCCACTTCGCCCCGGCCCCGCCACTTCGCCGCGACCTCGCCACTTTGCGCCGGCCCCTGCCGCCGCGCCGTGCCGCCGAGCTGCGGAGCCATCGAGCCGCCGAGCCACAGGGTAGCCGCGCCGCCGAGCTGCAGAGTAGCCGCGCCGTCGAGCTGCCGCCGTCGAGCCGCCGAGCCGCAGAGTAGCCGCGCTGCCGAGCCGCCGAGCCGCCGCGCCATCGTGTCGTTGTGCCGCCCCGACCCGCTGGCCCTGGTTCCTCTTCTGCGCCGGCGCTCCCACTGTCCGTCTTCACCACCCCTCTCCACCACTCCCAACCTCTATCTCCTCCTCCTCCTCCTCCTCCTCTTGCGACAGTCCGCTGCTACAGCCGTGGCGATGGCGGACGCTGTGCTCCGCCTGAAGGCGGAGGGGTCGGGCGATCGACTTTGAGGCGTGGCTCACCGAACTCTGCCGCTTGCTGAGGGGACAGCGCCAGGATGGCCAGTCCCTGGCCGTTCACGTCGACGGTAAGATCCCCTTCCCCGACCCGCCTGCTGCCCTCTCTGACGCCCCCGCGCCCGCTGAACGTGAGGCCTTTGGAGTTGCTGAGCTCGCCCACTCCGCCTGGGAGTCGCGCGACAAAGTCGCATAGCTTGCAATCAGTCGCGCCCTCCCCCTGTCTGAGCGCCCCCGCTACCAGGCCCTAGAGACTGCGCAGGAGTACTTAGATGTCATCATTGCGGGCTATTCCTCTCCCTCATCCGCCTCTGCCAGCCGTCTTCTTCTCCCCCTGGTCTTCCCTGACCTTGCGTCCTTTTGTACTGTCGCTGATCTCGCCACTCACCTGTGCGTGCTAGAGGCCAGCTACCGCGCTGCTAACACTGAGGCTCAACTCCTTGTACTGCCTCCCCCCTCGGCGCTACCCTCTACTTTCTTTGCCACCCGCCTTCTTGATCGCCTGGCCACTGCCCGCGACCACTTCTTTGGCCTCCACCTCGTTGAATTTGTCACTACCATGTCCGCGATATAGACCCGCCAGTGCGCTATCGCCAGTCGAGCGGTACTGCGGCGGTCCCTATCTTCCAGGGCTGTGCTCCCTCCCTGCGCACTTACTATGACGGCTCTGCCGCTGTTGCTGAGTCGGCCAATGCTGCTGAGACCGCTACGGCGGCCTCAGCCCAGTCTCGTCAGGGTTGGGGACGCCAAGCCCGAGGGGGGGGGGGGGCGTGGCGGCAAGAGGGTGGCAGGGGTGGGGGGGGGTAGCGGAGGTGGCGGAGGTGGGGAGGGGACGGTGATGGCGGACGAGGGGACCCAGGGCTGGTGCCCCGGCGCAGCATTAGCCTTAGCAGCAGCAATAGCCGCAGTAGCATTAGCAGTTGCAGCAGCAGCCATAGGGACCCTTGCCACCGTGGTGACCTGGAGGCTCTGGTGGTGGGCCGCACAGCTCGGTGTCGGGTGGCAAATCCAGTGTGGTCACCTGCCAGTGCCAGCTTCAGTACGGCCCCCGCTGCGGCACAGTCTGTGACTGTCACGGTCACAATCGCAGCTCGCTGCTACCGTCGCCTCAACGACCTCTTCCGTCTCCGGTTCGGCCTTATGCTGAACCCCCCTGACTGGCACAGCCTGGTACGTCACCGTGTGTTGGTCTTTGAGATGGATATGGATAAGGTTACCTCTTCTATATATTCCATATATGCTGATGAATCTAGTGTGACTGGACCTTATTACCCTGTGTTGCCTAGTATAGGTTTGCCCCTTGTGTGTAGTCAAGGCTCCCCTGCTGCGTCAAGCGTAGGACCTCCTAATATGTTCAGCATAGGCTCCACGCTAGCCCCTCTGCCGGCTGCCGCTACCGCCGCGCTTTCTTTCACGCTAGACTCTGGTGCGTCCGCCTGCTTCTTTTGTGACCAAACTGTGCTCACGCCGGTTGCCTCCCCTGCCGCTGTAGCGCTTGCTGACCCCTTCTCAGTTCCAGTAGTTGCAGGTAGCTCTACTACCCTTCCCTGTCAGGCAGTTCCCTCGGGCTCTCTTCCAGGCTTACACATCCCCTCGTTCTCCAGGAACTTAGTTGGTGTCGGCCGTCTTCAGGACCTCGACGTCACCACTACGTTCCCTGGACACGAGCGGTACGCGGTCTGCACCGAGGCCGCCACTGGTTCCCCTCTCACCACGTTCCCCCGTGACCTGGTGTCTGGCTTGTTTATGCCTGACACCGCGTCCCCCCGGTGGGGGCGTCTCCCCTCGTGGCTGCACCCTCCCAGGTCGCTGCGGCTTGGTCGTGTTGGTCGCTCACTCACCCGTCGCTTCTGTTGCACCACCACCTAGGTGACCCCGCACTCCCGCGTCTGCATCACATGTCCCAGCACGATCTTAACTTAGGTCTCCCTACGTCGCTCCCTGCTCTTCCTCCCTCGCTTGCGCCGCCGTGCACACCCTGCGTCGAGGATCGGCTGCACTATGCTCCTCACTCTTCCTTGCTTCCCCCTGACACTGCACCATGCCAGACCCTGCACCTGGACGTCTAGGGCCTAGCCCCCGTCCCTGGGCAGCGTCAAGAGCGCTACTTTCTAGTGCTTGTCGACGACTATACGCGCTAGACCACAGTTTTTCCTCTGGAGCAGAAGGCCGACGTGCCTGACGTTCTTATCCCGTGGGTCGTAGCTGTACGAGTCCATCGCGGTCTCCCTGTGCTGCGTCTTCACTCCGACCATGGCGGCGAGTTCACCTCCGGCCGGCTTAGCGAGTTCTGTCGTGCGGAGGGCATCACCCAGTCGTACACCCTGCCGGACACCCCGCAGCAGATTGGGGTCACTGAGCGACGCATTGGTTTGGTCATGGAGGTGGCTCGTACCTCCATGATCCATGCCGGTGCACCCCATTTTCTATGGCCGTTCGCTGTTCGCTATGCTGCTCACCCGCTTAACCTGTGGCCACACTCGCAACGACCGCAGGTTTCGCCGACCCTCCTCTTGACCGGGTCCCCTGGTGACGCGTCTGCGTTCCACGTCTGGGGCTGCCTTGCTCACGTTCGTGCCTCTGGCACGAACAAGCTCACTGCCCACACTGTCCCTTGTGTCTTCCTTAGCTTCCCCTTAGACTCGTCTGACTGGCACTTTTACCATCCGTCGTCTTACTGTTTCTTTCACTCTCGTGACCTCATTTTTTACGAGTCAGTCTCCTTCTACACGTGCTTTCCCCACCGAGGTCTCCCGGTTACCCCGCCCCTGTTTTTGGTTTCCACTCCTCGAGTAGCCCTTGCTCCTCTCCCTCCCCGTCCTGCCTCGTCTGGTGTGTCTCTTTGTAACTCCCCTCTCATCGGTTGTCCCGGTGGAGGAGTCGGCT